GCCAGCCCTCTGGCTGGCTCCTCCCGTGCCGTTGATGCGGCAATGGAGAAGCTTGAGGTTGCCAGTGTAACATCTGATGCTGGCACTACCACAACAATGCCTGAAGTCGCCGAGGTGTCCCCCGCACGGACGATTCGAGCGCGCCAGCTCGCCTCCCAAAATTATGAGAGTGGAAGTGAGAACGGAAGCACAAAGAACAACCGGCGCACAGCTGCATCGGGATCTGCACCGCCATCTCTTGCGTCCCGTAACTCGAGCACCGTCAAATTGTCCGGCAAAGGCAAGTCGGGCGAGGCGTCCCAGCCCACGATGACCGTCGAGACCGAGACGGTAACGTCGATCCCGAATGTTGCTCTGGGCCCCAGCGCAGCCCAAGGCCCGAACGGTAGTTTGCGCACGAAGCCAAGCTCAGAAACTATCCGGCCCAAGAAGGAAAAGAAGAAGACGGTACGGAAACAGTCAACTGTCGCACCTGGCACCGGTACGTTACTTGAAAGTATGAAACCAATACAACTGTAAATATATGGTGCTAACATACGTACAGCAACCTCAAAGGCCGACATCTTTGAGGCCAAGGTGGCGAGCGCTGTCGACGAGGCGAACACATCCGACTCGGAAGAGACATTTGTGTACGATTCGAATCCGGCAGAGAGCCGTGACCGCCCTCACCGCTTCCATCATTCACGGACGCCAAGTGCTACGTCCCTGGCCAACAACCAGAATGGTATGCGGTCGATCCACAGCATCCTCGAGGGTGCTGGCCCGAGTGCTGCGGCCAAAAAGGGCATGAAGTTTGTCAACACATTTGGCAGCGGCAGCGGTAACGACAGTGGTGTGGGCGGCGATGACGAAACCAACATGGCTACCATCCGCGGCGTGACGCCCGGGTCTGGTCGCGGCACTGCCCGCCTCCATCACCATGTCGGGGCGAGTGGTAGCCACATTGGCCGATGGGGCCTCAATGGACCGAAGAACGGACACCAGTCTATTCTCGACAGCGAGTCGCCTTTCCCGGTCCAGTCGGGCTCCCGACTCAAAACGTCTGTGAGCGGTGCGGCCAACGGCGCCACATTACGCCAGGCAGGGGGCGCCAGCAGCCCACGACCGTCAGGTGGTAGCGGCCGGGGCAATGGAGGGGCGTTTTCGCAGAAGAGAGGTGTTGGTAACGGAACCTTTGGCTACGATATGGACGACACGACACCTGGTCAGGCCGACGACGAACGAACACCTCTGATATCTTCGTCTGTGCGCGGCCCGGGCCGCGCCTCCCGTTCACGCCGCAATCACATGTCGCTACGATCACTGGAGCAGCAGTCGTACCAGCATCCGGCGCCATCGTTCTTGAACCGCTTTGCCAGCTGCCTGGTGTTTACCGTCATGCTTATGCTTGTGATCTCAGGTGCGATTGGTTTCATGTTTGCGACGTCCCAGCCGCTCGAGGATATCGAGCTGGTTAAAATTAGCAGCGTGCTTGCCAGCGAGCAGGAACTAATGTTCGACCTGATGGTACGCGCACATAACCCCAACGTGGTTGTGGTTTCCGTGGACTCGGCCGACATGGAGGTCTTTGCCAAGTCGCCCCATGCTGGAACCGATTCTGAATGGTGGCGGCGCCCGCATCCTGACGACCACTCTGTTCACACGAATGACGCTCGCGGCGACGGCAGCGACAACAGCACCGACCTTGGCGTCTTGGATAACGAACCGCGGGACCAGCCCGATAGCTCTCCGAATTTCTTACTGGGCAAATTTACCAAGTTCGACAACCCATTGTCCTTTGAAGGATCCTTCTTCCACCACGGCCTATCTACATCCAGAAGTGGCGTGCGTATCACGCGTCCGGGTAACGGTACAGACGGTGGCTCGGAGCGCTGGGAGCGGATTCTTGACGACGAGTTCGACCTCATTATCAAGGGTGTCTTGCGGTATTCGCTACCACTCAGCCAGCGCGTCCGCAGTGCTTTGATCGAGGGCCGAGTCAAGGTCAAACCGAACGCGGCTGAGGATCCATCACACCCTCCGAATGGCACGGCGACCATTTCGCAAGCCAACTAGGCCCCTAATCCTTGCATTTCTTTTTACAACGAACTTCAGTCACTCATTTTGGTTTTTATTTACAACCAGCCTTTATGACTCTCATTTGTTACCTGCTTTGTTAAGACTCTGCTTCTATTTCAGTGTATCTTCTTTCCTTTGTATACTTCACCGGACTTGATGACCCCCATTATACATTGCGCTCGTGGCACATATACCTGCAGATCGATATCACATATTGAAAGGCGTTGTTTTTTGTCTCTTTTAATTTTTCGGTTGTCTTTGAATTTGGCGAGGATTTTTTTCACCTGTTTTATTCTTATAAAGACTTGGTACTTGTATTTTATTGCGTCTCAACCGCTGTTTCTGTCTCTCGTCCCCGCGGACTGGGTTTGACGGATCGTCCTTTCTCTTTGGTCGCATGAGGAAAGACGGCATACGATATAGTCAGTTAGAAAAGCGCCGGATTTGCTTGACTCTTGTCCATATCACTGATTACTTCAACACGTTATCTGCGGCAGTGTCCTTGGACGGACATGCCCTTTTATTTTACACCGGCATGGCAACGTTGCCCAATGGCTTCCGTTGCACTGTTTCCTTCACTTGTGTCAACTAGTTGAACCACAATTTTAAAGAAAATACTATTTCGAGATACACCTGCATCATACAAAGAAGCGCATATCACTCGTATTGTCGAAAGGTTACAGGGATTCCACGTGCGTTTTCGTCTAAATATAGTATGGCTATGCAGAGTGCGTTTTAATGTTGAATCGAGAGTCTTCCCACATTGTCTACTAGTCACTTTTTGGGCCGCCCATTTAACCTTGATCTACATCTACGACGTGCTTCCGAGGTCTGATTATGCGCAGTTCCATGACATATCAAATATGGGTTGATAGGAAATGTTGTTGACTTCCTAGCAATAATGGACGGAATGAAATAAAAGGAGACGTGACAAAAAGGCAAATACAATAAGAAAATGACAGAAAATAATATAGAGAAGAATAACGCAGCAGGGAATGAGACACAATGCCAGGGATGTACGGTTTCAGCCTCAGCCGACGTGTCGACACGCTTTACTGCATTTCCGACAGAATTAAATTCAAGGCAAAATAAACGAGAGACAGAGAGAGGAGCGAGGGTTCCCTTTCTCAAACCGAGGACGAGGACCCCGCTGACGAAATCTACTTACGTCTTCCTTGACATGGAGTGTTCCATGCAGAGTACGGAATACGTGCGACGCCCATCTTTCCCCCCAGTGGCAGGCAGTCCTCGGAACGCCTTTGTAGACATGGGAAGCGATGTGCCCACTGCCCTGCTCAATGGCGTGAAACAGGTATGCTCTTTACCGTTTCCTGGCGTGCTTTCTGCCCTCGTACTCTCCCTTCTTCTTTTTGTCCCTTTGATCTTGCCATTTTGCTGTCCCTGCGTGTTTGGTATAGGTAGACTCAGCTACTTATTTCATTTTATTTAGCAATTTATTCTCGACATCTACGGAATGCTCTGTAATCCGGTTTGGTTTATCTTTTGTATTTCCACACGCGCTCCTGTGTCTGCTCGGAGCAAGATTCTCCTCTTTTGCCCATGGTATTTTCGTGCCGGATCGTCTCTCTACCACGGCGTATTACGGCATGCTCCCTACTTTGTGCCTTCGTCCTCCGTCTCTCCCTTCCTCTGTTTTAAGACGACTTCACAATAACTAGGGCGCCAGCAGAATCAGGCAAAGGGGTGGTATTCTGCGCCAAATAAGGCACAGCGTCTCTGGTCGGCTGTGTTTTTCTTACATGAGAACGTGTATCCCTCTCTCTGTACGTGTATTACTACGTTCTCTTGTGCCTATTTTCTTACCGGATTTATTTCTTTTTTTGATTTATTTGCCGGCTTTCTCCTCATGCTGTGTTGGACTCGCTCTCTTTCTCTCTGTCCCCCCCTTTTGTCGTCTTCTTCCGTTTTGGTCGCTTTTCCATTTATCATTTATTTTACGGCTTTATTTCCATTTATTTTCCACCTCCTGATTGGAATAATTCCTTTTCTAAATTCCCTCTATTTTTCTGATTTTAAATTATTGCATTTCCATTTTCCCGCTAAATCCCACCCACCACCACCGACCTGTGTCCGTACCTTTGCACCTTCCCGCTATTTGAGACTACCTGAAGCTACCCTGTCACTTGTTTCCTGCTGTGTTTCCCCCAGTTCCTTCCTCTTCTCGGTTTCCCTCCCTCACTCCTTCCCCCCTTTCGCTCCTGCCCTCCACTCCTCGTTGGCCTCTTGCGGCCATTCTGGTCTTTCCCGTTTATTCTACGGAGTAATACTCTATGCAGTATTTATTTCACTTTATTTATTCCATTTGCCCCTTTCCCTTTTCTCTGTCTCTTTTCTTTCTGCTTTTTTTCTTCCCTCCCTCATCCCTTCTTTCTTCTTTTCCCTTTTTCTCACCATATCGACTACGAAAATTGCAACGGTCGAGCGCAAACCGAAAACCTGCGGATTTTCTAGCAATTTTCCTCGCCGGGAACAGGCGATAGCCCATTTTCCAAAGAGATTATTTATCTTACTATTTTTAACGTCTCTCGCATGTCCACTCACACGTCCACTCACACCTACCACCCCCCCAGCTGTGCTCCCACCCCAGGCTTTTGCTCCACTGAAGCTTCAGACAGCCAACTGTGCTCGTGCTGCGAGGCGACCTGACCCCAGCCTGCCCATTTAAATTACAACGCCTAGAAAAAGGGCAAAGGTCCAAAGCAAAGCCTACCAATTCGTTGCGACTGTTGCAAAACAAGAGCAAACGGAACGCGCAGTTTTCTTTTCTTTTCCACCTATAATTTTTATTTCCACATTCTTATTTCATTTTTTTATCGTTACCTCACACTCCTTTACCTCGCGCTCCTCAGCTTGCTGCCGTACCCGTCGTCTCATTGATCCCAACCTCTTCCTCGTCCAAAACATCCCACACTTCTTCCGCCATGCCCCCCAAAGCCGCAGCACAGGACGACGCGTCCAAGACCCACTCGACGCGACCGGCCCAGGAAGACGCCGCCAAAGTCACCAAGCCCGGCGGCAAAGGCTCCGGAAAGCGTGGCCGTCCCAAGATGGACCCGGCTCTGCGCAAGACTCAGGTCTACGTGCCCACCGGCCGCCCTCGCGGCCGCCCGCCCAAGGACCCGTCACAGAAGAAGACCGCCACTCCCAAGGCGCCCTCCACCCCCGGCGCCGGTCGCGGCCGTGGCCGCCCTGTCGGCTCGACCAAGAAGGCGGCTACCAGCACCGCTGCCGCAGTGGCCAGTGTAGCGGCTGCTGTCTCTGCCGCCAAGACCCCCGGCAAGCGTGGCCGCAAAAGCAAAGCCGCGCTGGAGGCCGAGCGGCTTGAGAAGGAGGCTGCCGACGAGAACGGTAGCGACGACGATGACGACGACGACGAAGACGATAGCGAGGCCAAGGCCAACGGTGCGGACGACGACGAGGACAGCGGTGAGTCATGAACGAAACGCGCGAGAGGCAAGTGAAGAACATAAATGGGAGACGAGAGAGTGGGAGACGAGGTAGAACAGACGACAGAGGGGAGGGGACCTCTTCTCCGCTCAGCTTCTGTCTCTCGTTTTACCTGCTTCTGTTTCTCTCCCCCTGCATGTTGATGGTCTTCGCTCATGTGGTGCCGTGAGTCTTCTCTTGTCTCCTTTTCTCCCTCTTGTCTCCTTTTCTTCCTCTTGTCTCTCGCCCTTCCTCATGACTCAAAAATCCTGTTTTATTCTCGCGTTGTTTGGCCCGATTTTCCAAGTTTGTGTGCGCTTCCGCATTCTGGCTGATCTCTTTATCAACCACCGTCCGCTTTATGACCTCGGACTTTTCTTCGAATATTTCTCGTTCGCGAACGGCCAAGCATATACAAACAAACCTCAGCACACAAGGAAGAGAGACGGGGTTGCAAAGTAGGAGACATGGAAGGCAGCGGCATGACGGGTACAGACATTGTCTTCACTATTCCCCAAAAACGAAAAAAAAAAATCCAATGGAAAATTGGCCGGCGTGCGCTGACTCTGCTCTTTCCCCCTTCTGCTAGCGACGAAAACGCCCGGATGGGGCAAAGGCCGTGTCATGACCGCCATCCGTCGGATATTCTAGTTGTGCCTCGTCTCTCTTCGGCTTCGTCTGCGGTGCCTTGTTCGTTTATTCTTTTCCTAGTTTCTGTGTATCTCCTATGTGTGCTTTCATTTGACCCTTGTCTCTTTTGTCACTTTGACTTCTTCGCACCGTTTTATGTTGCGGATGTTCCCACATTTGTTATCAACTCGGTGGCACTGGCGTTCATGCGGAATCTTGGTTTTCCTTTGTGACGAATGGGATGGCTGGAAAGGAGGGATTGTGGTGTCCTCAAAGCAGCCTGAGCGGAACGTCGTTTATGGCCGTGCGATGGTCTTGTACTGGATGGAATATGGGCTATGTTGTTGAAGCATGATGAGGGCGAGACTCTTGCAGTGCTCTGTTGTCTCGCGAAAAACCTGTGTGATATTTTTGTTGTTGATTTACCGTGTTCGCAGTTACAATCGTCTCCGTTCGCCTTCCCTGTTGGAGGACATGATAAAAACCCTAGTTACGAAAGCATCTCGTGGCCATATAACCACCCGTTTACCTTTGAATCATACACATGCAAAAAAAATAGTGTGTTAAATTCCGGTATTGTGAAAAATGCTCGTTGTCACTTCTACCATTTCCTCTGCGCATCGTATGCCCCCAAACTGGCCGAGTCTTACTCCCTTTTCCAAGCCTCAAACTCTACGTCCAAGTGCCGTTTGAGCTCCTGGAAGCGGTTGCCAAAGTTCTTCCCGCACCGCCAGCACCTCATGTCGCTCTGCAGATAGTTAAGGTGGTGGTGTGGTGGGCGGCTCACAGCCCCCCGGCTGTCCGCATCCATCTCGCCGCCGCTGTCCTCGCCGCTGTCGTTGGCATCCCCGGCATCCTCACCTGTCCCTGGGTACGCTCCACTGCCGAACATCCGTGCGTCGTGCGGCTGCCGCGGGTCGTCCGCGGCCAGCGGAAACTCGTCGAGTGGCACGAGGAACGGCGTCGTGAAGGAGTTGTAGTGCTTGCGGTGCCGCACCTTTTCGCTGTGCATGTCGCGCGAGAAGACGTGGACGTGCAGGTGGCTCATGCTGGGCCGCGCGTGCACGCCCACCACGACGTCCTTGCTCCAGTCACGGCCGGCCGGTAGCTGTTGTGAGGGCGAGTCGCCGCCGCCCGGGGCATCGGCCTCGCCGCGCAAAACGGCTTCTCGCAATGCGTCGGCCGCGCTGAACTTGCCGAACCGCCGCCGCAGCTCGGCCGCCACAATCGCACGCAGCTTCTCGGCCTCGGCGCGGATGGCGTGCAGGAATGCCTTGCCGATGTCGTCGCGGCGGCTCAGCAAAAAGACGGGATGTTGTTGGTAGAAGCGGGGGTCGCGCGGCAGCAACAAGCAGTGCACGGACGCCTTGGGGAACTTGTCGTGGATGGCGACAAAGTTGTCCGAGTAGTATATGACCTGCCCTGCGGCGGAGAGCGCGGTCTTGGGGTCGCTGCTGGAGTACGTTTTGGAGCCCATGTAGGCGCCCGGGTTGTCAATGTACATGCCGAGGGCTTCGCGGCTCTGAAATTTGCGAAACCCGGCGTCGGCAATGGCGCGAAACGAGGCGCCCCTTGCCCGTTGTTTCGGCTTCGGCTTGCCCTTTGAAGCCATCAGTTGGGAGACTTTTGTTGGGTTAGTCATGTGAGCGTGGACCAGAGACATAGAAAACGCCATAAAAAAGAATGAAAAGCGCTGTCTTACAGGCATCTTTTGGCCGCTGTTGATTGTCTGTGTTTGTTGCGTCGTTATCAACAGCCCGCAGGCTTCCGGTGTCTATTGTGGTCATGTTGCGGATCTGGGATGTCAGTCGATTCTGAGAACCATGTGTATGCGGTAGTGGAAATAAAAGAACGGACGGCCAGGCGCAATCCGGGGCATGCGTTTGGGGGTGTCGACATGCTTTAATATGTAAAATATGTAAACGAGGCCAACTATGAATGAGTTTTGCCAGAGCTCGAGGACCCTTTCGATATTGAGCCACCGGAGTACGACATATGGGGAAAGAGCGTTTTAGGCGATTGCCGCTACAAAACGTTGAGCTCACGAGCTCAACATTTGGGGAAGGCCCGACTGGACCCCAAGGCGCTTTCCACCCCACAAAAGGAAGTAAGGAGGCAAGCTATGACGCTGGTGGGTCGCTGTTTCCGTTTAGCTTGTAAAAAGGCAGGCGCGACCGGCCATTTTTGGTAATTTTGGAGGGGAATGTGGGAAGTGGCCAAACACAGAAGGCCATTAGATAAAAACGTTCGAAATTCTTGCCTCTGGAAAAATAGCTGGAGATATATCAACAACGCCCGACGGCACACGGTGACGACTGCTCTCGCCGACAACTGACGAAGCGAGTCTCGAAGCTCGGACAATCCATTAACGGAGACTATTTCGACTTGATTTCTCTGCCCGTACCACCCACCCATGCAGCAGGCGCTCCATCACAAACCGCGGCAGGATGCCTCCTAAAAAGGGCAAAGACAAGGGCGGCGGCAGCGGCAGCGGCAGCGGCAGCAGCACACCCGTACCGGCCGCCGCGGCGTCGAGCAAGTCGTCGGGAAGCAAGAAGAAGGGCGGCTCGTCGCTGACGACATCATCGCGGCCGCCAGATAGCGACTTTATTGTTTTCACCAACTCGACGAAGGAGACCAGTGGGAAGGGCAAACGCGGAGGTGGAGGAGGAGGAGCTGGAGGAGGGCCGTCAGGTGGTGCTGAGGGCGTGCCGGACGGACAACCGAAACCGACAGTCAAGCAAATCATTGGCGGGTCCTCGTGGACGGGCAAGCTGCCGGTCAATCTGCTGTCGGAGCACTGCCAAAAGCAAAAGTGGGATCGGCCAGACTACGACATAGTGAGTCCTCTGCCTCTCTCTGTGCGGGTCTGTATCTTGCAAGGAACCGGTTACTGACACAGCCAGCGCAAAGTGAAAGACGGCTACACGGCGTTCGTCAAGCTCAGCGCCAAGAACCCAAAGACCAATGAAACGACACGCCTGGATCCTTTCAAACTGCCACCAAGCCATGTGCACCTGGCCGTCAAGCCGACAACACTCGAGGCGCGCCACTTTGCAGCCACATACGGTCTGTTCCGCGTCTGCAGCATGAAGAACCTGCACATGATGCTGCCGCCCGACTACAAGAACCTGTGGAACGAATTCAAGGCGCTCAAGGAGCAGGATGTCAAGGAGGGCAAGGCATGGATGTACGAGGCCGATCCGTTCACTGCGCTGCGCGACCGCGAGCTGGCCAAGGCTGCGGCCGAGAAGAAACGCAAAGAGCAGCAGGCGGCCCGCGAGAAGGCAGCAAGCATGCCGGGCGCAGCAGGCCTCTTGGCACTACGGACTCTTGCAAATAATGGAGGCGATGGAGGCGGCGGTGGTAGTGGCCAGGGAGGCGAAAGAGGGAAAGGCCCTGGAAATGGCAGTGGGAGTGGTGTTGGGGGTAGCGGCGGCGGCGGCGGCAGCAGCAGCAGCAACCTCAACCCCATGCGTGGCTGGACAAACATCCCCAAGATCGAGATGGGCGGCAAGACGCGCTCGATGCTGGAAGACTTGCTGCGGCGCGAGTCTATCTGGAACCCCTACGGGGTTGAGTTGTCTGCGGAAGCGCAGAAACGCATCGTCGACGAGCTGAGCTGCACAGGATTCCGTCGCAGCCATGTCGAGGAGGCTGTGGCCGTCTGCAAGGACCGTGACGAGACGCTCGAGTGGTTGCTGGTGCACGTGCCCGAGGACGACCTGCCACCGTGGTCACTGCCCGAGAGCTACACGGCCGGCGTGTCTGTCGCTGCGACCGACTTGCGTCGCGAATCTGCGATCCAGCGCCTGGCACAATCTGGCTACTCAGCCGACCTCTGTCGCAAGGTTTACGATGCCAACAGCGGCGACGAGTGCAGGGCAGCCGAGGCGCTGCAAGCCATACTGCTGGGCCGGGACAGCAGCGCCAACGGATTGGACGACAGCGATACGCCGGCCTTTCTTTTGTCTTCGTATGATACGCCCGAGGAGGGCTGGGCGGCCGAGCTGGCCAGCTTGGAGTCGGTCTATGGGAGCGACCACTATAGCCAGCCGTCGCCCGACATGTGTCAGATTCGCTTGGACGGCGTCGTCAACAGCAATGCCACAAACACCAGCCGCGGCAAGACGACGGATGTTGAGGCATCCCTTCAGTTCCGGCGGCCGTCCAACTACCCAGCTGAGCTTCTTATCTCCGTGCTGGCACCGCAGCTGCCCTCCTACATCAAGCTCAGCATCATCAAAAAGACGCTCGCGTACGTGCACGAGTCGCTGCGTGACGAGGAGACCAAGATCTACTTTGTCGTCGACTGGGTGCAGCAGAACGTGAATAGCATCATCGAGCGGCCGGGCGCCTTGCGTGATATTTCTGCGGCAGC